CCTCGCTACCCTTCGGAGCCAGAGGGGTGTTCTCGGCCCTATCTACTTGCAGACCCCGTGACATTTTCAAAAATTGTTATACATTTTTACTCTCTGTAATCATGTAACACCAATAGGGTGTTATTGATATTGATTTATTTAGGGTAAGTTTTCCAAGAATTTGGTTCAGTTTTTTTGTCATTTTTTGATGTTTTTTTTTCAATATTTTTCTCATTTGCACATACATATACTTAGATTTTGTGGGCTTACGTAAAAAAGAGAGAGCGCTCGAAGATTAAAAAAAATTGGCTGCCAAAACTCGAAAAAATGGCTTACGAATTCGGTTGAAGACATTCGAAACAAACAAGTTGTTACATACTCTATAAAATACTTAAGATTATAGAATTTGACCACTTTGGTCATTTTTTCCTTTCCGAGGAGAAAAGGTTCTAAAAAGGAGCTACTTACAGCGCTGCCGGAGCCCCAACTTGAGGTCCACTCAGAAACTGCGGCTCTGCAGATGTACAAGACAACTGGTGAATACATTCAAACCTACCAGCAAAGGTAAGCACTGAAAACATGACGAGCAACAGCAGAACCATGAATGCAGGTCAGGAAACGTCAAGCAGGCACTAAGTTTCCAGGCGAGACTTCTGGAGCCGATCGAATGGGCTGCTGCAGCATAACGGAGGGAGAAGAACAGAATTATGAAAGAGCACATGAACAAATATTCCTACAGCCGGCGATAGTGCATACTGCCTTGTGGAGGCGGACTGATGCATTCATTCTCAGCTTTCTGAGACCTCTATTCAAATTACACTATCAGTTATTTCCAACAGTTTTTTTAGTAATAGTTTTGCTTAAACTCAGCGGTTGCTTGAGCAACAAATTAGTTTTATAGGCAAAAAAAACCTGTAAACCATATATTCAGGACCTACTAACATGCCAAAACTGCCAAGTGTAAGTGCTAGGTTAAGCAATAATAATATGATCCGCAGCAATAATAATAATATCCGCCGTTTTTTTTCAGGCTCATGGTTCTTTGATTTTTGCTGATTATTTTCAAAGGTTATGATGTAGTCTGAAAGCGCTCAATCTCTTGTACATTTTGATGTACAACACTTGTGTATTTACTTCACTATGGAGCTTACACACTAGCACTAGCAAAAAAGATTGCCCCTGCTACATGAGTGCAAGTTGAGCTCGAAACCGAATGCTTCTGCATCTGCTCGTAGAATCAATGAAGCCTGGGATGAAGGCACGGTTGCAGAGAGGACTGTTCGAGAGCGTTTGTTGATTACGCATTTATTGTTGTTTTTGTTTGGTTTTGTTAATAAACTTATGAGTGAAATGAAAACCGTGGGTGCTCAACCTAATCCTTTCACCCGCGCGTGCATCACAGAATTTGCCCGCACCCTTATGCACTCGCATGCCATGCGATGCAACCTCTCTTCTTACGAGTAAATTTTCTCACCAAGGAAGACGGCACAATTTTCATTATATTGCCATTCTCGAGAAGCTAGATTGGAAACTAGGGTACTTGTAGAGAATTAGAATTAGAATTTTGATTGTTATTTGGGAACAATCCGTCAAG